CACTAATATTAACTACTGGCATATTCTTAAATCCCTACTGATGGATCATATACGAACAGAAACTGTGCTTTAAGAAGTGACAAGTTGAGATTTTCTGAAACTCCTTGCCAACAATCAGGTAACAAAGATTGTAAAAGAGTCTAATTACATCAGAAAACACAGAATGCAGGAAAGCCTATAGAGATAGGAAAATAATCACTTTGTTCAGAGGCAGAAAAATTATGGCTCTTTCAATGTCTGGATGGCAACAAAAATTTGAGCTTTTCGTTTGATATTTACCTATTTCAGATAATTATTGAAACTGTGGAATCAAGCTAAACACACTTATCAGAGTTGCTCTGCCCTGTCCTTTTGTGTAAATACTGAAACCCTTGGCTGTTCTTTTCCATTCTTTATACACCTACAAGGTGTTACCTTCAGTTTTTTTTAACTTAATCGTAGTTCAAAATGTGTGTCTGTGTTTGTATACATGTAATTTTTTTGAAATTCTTCTTCCACCCTCAGCAGTCTCCTGCAGTGAACTGGCTGCCTTGCCTGTTTTTATTGCTTTACTAAATGTTCAGAGGACCATGTGATTTGGCTGCTTCCATACAAACACAGAGAAAGTATTTCCATGCAAAAAATATTCCTTTTTATTCTGACGTGGGCATGAGAGAACAGCTAGGTAGCTGAGAAAATTGTCTAATATATCTTTCTGGCATTTGTCAGGTGCTACAAAAACCCTGATAAATTATGTTAGGTTATCACACAGTCACCATTGTAGCTACATTTGGGCAATCAGTTCAATCCTTCAGAGCGTGCTTGCATGGAAAGAGAAGTCAGACATTATGATGCTCAGATTGAAGAATTAGAACGGATGTAGACAGAAAATATGGACTACATGAGGCCACTCAGCCAAGCTCTCTGGTTTTAAGGGTCACTCTATTATTCTGATTATCTACTAAGTATATTAACAGAGACCATTTAATTATATTAGATTAGAGGTTTACTGTTTCCATAGTTTACAGTGGTGCACCAACACCATCTTTTAGAAGAGTGAATAAAATTAGCACTACATTGCAAGGAAACTTGAATCGGCATGCTGTCATTGACATTTAAAATGAAATCTAGAATATATTAGTCGACATCTCTTTTTGTTCTTTTAAAATTGGTTAGGTCCTATTTCTTTAGAAGTAAGAAAAAATGTATTGTTATTTCTCAGAGATATTTCCATTCTTTTTTTTTTTCTAGATCATTCTGTTCCATTCTATATAGGTAACATTTCCATGACCATTATCACTCTCAAAAATACATTTAGTCATGTTCAAAATGCTTACGGAAGCACAGGTAAGCATAGGATAACAAGCCAATTTGCAAGAAATATTGCCCTCTCATTGTTTATGACCAAAGTGTGGTCTGACACCAAGTCCCACGTACAAAAGAGACTGGGAAGAGGAAAGTCTAGTGCTTACATTGTGTTGGAAGTCTCTTCAAATGATCCACTTTACCTGTTTGTTCCCATGCAGACATAAATCTCTCTGGAGACTGCCTTTTCACTTAACTCTCAAAACGCTTTAATTATTAAAGACATGGCAGCTTACACACAGGTCATTTCCTTATCATCTTCTGGAACTTTTAAAATCTCTTCTAAAAATAGAAGAAGAGCTGAAGAGAAAATATGTAGTGTTTCTATGACTTATTCATAATTGAACTCTTATAAAAATGAATAGAAAAACAAAAAATTAAGTCTTTCCACTACTTTCTTCGTATACTTATTTGTTCCCATTTGATTTAAGAAGGCTTTTATAATTATTGGAATGATCCTGGCTTTTTGACAACACAAGATCAATAGTTCTCAGTTTGGGAGCAACTTTTCTGCATCAGTAAGTGCAGCATCAGTGTATTTTGAGGCTAGGTAAAGATCCTTTAGTGAAGCAGTAAAACTGAGTTATTTTTAAGGAAGCCAATGTCAAGGGCTGGACCCAGAGACTCAGACTATTACAATGGACACCCCGGCTTCCCACCAAAAACCCAGCAAGAGACTTTGTGATATTTATGTTTAAAGGCTGCACCAGCAGGACAGCATTTATGAGGCTTTTCCAAGTGAAGTACACCAGTCATGAGTAGAAGGCTCACCTCAGGCTAACAACATCCTATCTTTCTCTTCGTCATTTATGAGATCCCTGTTGGCCTCTCAGTATTGTCTGTGGACTGGAAAAGTATGACATAAATCTTTGCTAGTCTTTTTAAAAGAGACTTTTGATTGTCTCAAGGGAGAATGTCCTTGGGTCGATTCCATCCAGGATCCTCAAGTGATTATAGCATAAAGGATACAGGTCATATTTATCATCAGACTCTGGATAAACCTTTTCTAAATATCATTCTTCTTCACTGAGATACAAACATATCTTTCCTAATCACTAATTTTATGCTTAATTTTGTTCTTGGAGGAAAGTAATTTTTAGTGGAAAGGATGGTCATATCTTTGTGGCTCTTTCTTTTCTCTTCTTCATTGTCACATATATCTTCCATTGTCCCCTGTCTCCATGGCATGTTCTGAAAATTTATATCAGCTCATCTTACAATATTATTTTCTAGGCTTTTTAGTATGTATTATTTTTCCCACAAAAGAGTATATTTCCTGAATATCTGATTCCTGTTTATAACCTACTCATCCATTGTTTTCCAAAATGCCTGCCAATAATAAATGTATCATAAATAGTTATTGGCTAACTGTATGAAGAGATAAAATTACTTGTTTAAAAAAAGTCATTCACTTCTTTTTTAAAAAAAAGTCAGGAGACCTTAAACCTCCCCCTTTAAATCTCCATTGCTCCCTGGACTGAATGCTGTCTTTCACATCCTATCCCTAACTCTTTCTACAATCATTTCCCTATAATTCGATGATATCTCTGTGTTCCTGCTAAGCTGAACTTCCTTGTATTACTCAAAGAAAAGATGATACTCTATAACATTGAAAGTTCTTCCTGTCTTTTCCATTTGTGAATGTGAATTTATCCTTCAAAATATAGATCAAATGTTACTTCCTTGTGAATCCTTATTTGGTTCTCCAGAGTGACTCTTCATTAATACTCAAGTGATGCTTTGTAACTATCTCTATTATATCATCACACTGGAAAAGTAATAGAGTGATTATTTGCTCATTTGACATCCCACAACAAACACACAAATACCACATATACACCACACAAATTTCTCTGAGCATAGATATATCTTATTTCTTGTGTCTAACTAAGCACCCAGCGAGTGCTTGAAAGATAATTAGGTATTAAATGTATGAATAGAATAGAATACAATGCAATAGAACACAACACGACACAATAGGGATTTAGGGGCTGGCAAAATAATTGACCTGTTTTAATCACTTCTAGCTTTTGATCTTCAGAAAGTTTCTTGCCTTTCTAGAGCTTCCATTTTTTCCATCTCTAAAATAGGATAATATTTTGATAATACAACTGTGATAAAGAGTATAAAAGATAATTCATGGAAATACTTGGCAGTGTCTGGATGATGAGGAAGAAACAGAATAACAGGAAGAAAGAGGAGGAGACATAGGAGAAAAAAGAATAAGGAGAAGGAGGAAGAGGAGACACTCTAATGATAAATACATTTAACCAAAAGTGAATGGATAAGCAAGAATAATGTAGACAAAACCCCAAGTAATTAAATGGTAATTCTTGTCTGAATCTCCTATTAGATTGTTTAGGAAGGAAAAAAGAAATAGTGATGCTGATATGGTTTGGCTGTGTCTCCACCCAAATATCATCTTGAATTGTACTCCCATAATCCCCACATGTTGGAGGAGGGACCCGGTGGGAGATAATTTGAATCATGGGGGCAGTTTTTCCCAAACTATTCTCATGGTACTGAGTGAGTCTCACGAGGTCTGATGGTTTTATCAGGGGTTACCACTATTTCATTCTCTCTTTGCCTGCTGCCATCCATGTAAGACAGGATTTGCTCCTCCTTGCCTTCCACTACGATTGTGGGGTTTTCCCAGCCATGTGGAGCTGTGAGTCCAATTAAACCTCTTTCTTTTGTATCTTTCCCAGTCTCAGGTATGTCTTTGTCAGCAGTGTGAAAACAGACTAATACAGATGACAAAAGAAGTTGTCATACATCTGCTAAGTTCAGTTATCCATTCTTAAATCTTCTCAACTGTCACAGATGTTCAAAAGAAGGGACAGGAATTTAAAAGGAAAAGTAGTTATAATATGAGATGATAAATGTGTAAGACAGATTTTTGTCTCCTCAAAAATTTTTAAAAATAAATAAAAACATCATTTAAAAATATTACTTTTATGGTGTTCTTCATTGGACAGATGCCTACCGTGGGGGCAAAACATCAAAGCAATATCCCCAAGATATTGTTAAGAATAGGAGGAGCTTAAAAAAGTTTGACAGGAAATTATTTTTTTAAAGATTGCCATAGTCCATTGTCACAATAATTATGGGCATGTTTCAAAGGGGAATGAAGGAATGGGGATTTCCAGAGAGTCAAATTTCATTTACCAAAACAATTGCTGAATCCACTGTTACAGCAACATCAAAGCCATTGAAAATGAATAAGGTCTCATGAAGACACTTTTAAACGGATTAATAAGGGGATTTTAGTGTAAGAGTAGGAGTATGGTTCACAGCTCATTCCCCAGGGAGGGGTGGAGAGGAAAGAGAGAAGGATTCTTCAAATTTTTGAATAATCTTAATCCCCAAAGGAGTGAGATTTAGTCAACTGTGGGCTACGAGTCTCCAGAGCTAGCCAGAGCTAACTTCTTAAACTTCAAGTCACCCATTGCTACTAACCAAGTAAGCCTGGGGTAGGGTAGAGAAGCGGATGTCAGTTTAAGTCCCTTACAAAAAGCCACTCCTGGCCATTACTACAGGGAAAAGTCCCGCAGAGCTAAACAGTCAAGATGGGTGAGACTTCGCCAAGGACCAGACCGCAGAGTTCAAGGAGGCCTTCCAGCTGTTTCAATGAGCAGGTGATGGAAAGATCCTGTACAACCAATGAGGACATGAGGGCTCTGGGCCAGAACCCCACCAACACTGAGGTGCTCACGATCCTGGGGAACCCCAAGAGTGATGGGATGAATGTGAGGGGGCTGGACTTTGAGCATTTTCTGCTCATGCTCCTGATGGTGGCTAAGAACGAGGACGAGGGCACCTATGAAGATTATGTAGAAGCAATTCAGATGTTTGACAAGGAAGGAAATGGCACCATCATGGGTGTTGAAATCTCACAAGGTGTTGTCACACTGGGTGAGAAGATGACAGAGGAAGAAGTAGAGATGCTGGTGGCAGGGCATGAGGACAGCAATGGTTCTATCAGGCATGAAGCACTGGGAGGTATATCCCGTCAGGGTGACGGGCCCATGGGACACAGCTCATCCTTATGGTGCTGAATGGCTGAGGACCTTCTCAGTCTCCCAGAGCCCATGTCATTCCCTGTGGGAGATTTTCTACCTAGCCTGAAGGCTCCCTAGGCTCTCTCATCACAGCGCCTTTCCCATCTTGTCTCATTTGGACCATATGTGCCATCAGCATTCATCAAATAAACTTGCTCTCTGTGCCCAATGCCACACCCCCCAAAAAAAGTTACTCCCATTCTCATACTTGCCATCATCCCTATTGCTCAGAAGTTTCTGAATAGGACACACTATATACACACATACGCACATACACAAGAGAATGGAAATTTATCCCATATCCTCTACTTCCTCAAATCTATGATAAACAAACCTTATTAGTGCCAAAGATACTGAAAATTAAGTACTATTAAGTCATTTTGATATCATTAGAGTCAAAAGTTAAAAAAAAAATTGAGAGACAACTGGCTTTCAGGACCCTTTGATGACCCCTAATTCATCTGTTTATTTCAACAAGTGTTGACAATGGTAAAAAGAAAGTGCTTGAGTGAAATTAGGTTTGGTTTCCAAAGTATTCTTTCAAACAAAAAGAATCAAATTATCAACCTAATTTAAAAAGCTGCTAAACACACATGTGCACATGCCTTCCACTTGTGTATGTGTTCACGTGTTCACCTGCATGCTACATACACATGCAACAGACCTACATCAATTTTCATCACCTTTCACCCCACTGTGCTCAACATGATTTACACATAATAGGCCTTCAGGAATTTTTTAAATGAAATTATGGATGTTGTAATCAAAGTGCATATAAGTGACCACATACATATAGTTACTGACGTCAGTGATTGATACCCCCTCAGAGAGCTTTCAGCTTTCAAAGTATATGCCAAAATGTATGTGCTCTGAGAACGCTGTGGAACTAAGGGTCAGAAAATGTCCAGTTTCCATCTCGTCACAGCCCCTAACACTATTATTATTTACGGAGGGCCAGTGATTTGCTTGGCACTGCACACTTCACAGGACAAAGCTGTCTCTGCCCAGTGGGGTCTGAAGAGCGGGGCTTGTAGAACATAAAAGACAAGCAAGAACTGGCAAGATAGAGGAACAATCTAAGCCTGTGGCTTAAAATGACATTAAAATAACCATTAAAACCAGGTGCCTAACACACCCCACGGTCTAGGCCAAAAACACAGGAAAATAGAAGATTTTTCACCCTTTAACCACAGGCTGTTTGTGTAATTGGTAAGCATCAAGAAAGGGAGTGATAAATTCCTCCCTAGGTATTTGAGGAGAGAGTTGTATTGTTGTGAGCGTTGTCATTATACATTATGTGCCCACAGTTTCATAGTTTATGTTGGGACACACACAAGAGCGTGACACACGGTTTGGTTAGTTTTAACAGGCAAAGAGGTATTCTCCAGGTTGCCCAGGATAAAGCTTGTAAAGACTAACAACATCTTATCTAAGAAAAGGACCATGGAAACTTTTTTTTTTCTTTTCTTTTTATTTTTTGACAGAGTCTAGCTTTGTCACCCAGGCTGGAGAATGCAGTGGTAGAGTTTGGAACACTGCAAACTCCCCATCCTGGATTCAAGCAATTCTCCTGCCTCAGCTTTCCAAGTAGCTGGGATTGCAGGGCTCGCCACCATGCCCAGTTAATTTTTGTATTTTCAGTAGAGGTGGGGTTTTGCTATGTTGGTCAGGCTGGTCTTGAACTCCTGACCTCAGGCGATCCAACTGCCTCAGCCTCTCAAAGTGCTGGGATTACAGACATGAGCCACTACTCCCAGCCAAATATGTGGTGGCTGATGCCTGTAATCTCAGCACTTTGGGAGACCAAGATGGGAGAATCACTTGAGCTCAGGGGTTCGAGACCAGCCTGGGCAACATGGGGAAACTCTGTCTCTATCAAACAATTCAAGAATTAGCTGGGCTTTGTGGTTCATGCCTGTGACCCCTCCTTCTACTCCGGAGGCTGAGCGGGGAGGATCATTTGAGCCCAGAAGGTTGAGTCTGCAGTGAGCGGTGATAGACACATTGCACTCCAGTCTGGGTGAGAGTGAGACCCTGTCTCAAAAAAAAAAAAAAAAAAAAAAAAGAAAAGAAAAGAAAAAAGAAAGCAAAGTATCTGGAGATACTTTTGAAGCAAATAGGTCTTGACTGTCCCTCAAAGACACAGCCTAGAGGTATAAGATGTGTTAACAGTATCTCTGTTTAAAACACCACCTACAGCATTTTTTAAAGCATTTTTTTCCTCAAAGAACTCTGTACTAATTCATAACTCCCAGGCAATGTATCACAGATAGCTCAAAAGCTGATCCTTAAAGCCATCCTGAAGAATTCTTTCCACTTTTCCTTGTGATTATTAATCACACAGATCCTTGGGGACCATCAGAGTAAGTGTTTCTGCCTTTTTCCCTACTACTTTAACAGACAAGGTCTACAAGTATAAAATCAAGATAGTTTTCCAGACGTTGGATGGCTCTAAGCATGCCTAGAGTTTATGATTCTGTATTGGTACAGGTCTGCTTCTGATACCTTCCACCCAGATTATTGAATAGCAAGTTGGCTTTTTTTTTTTTTTTTTTTTTTTTTTGGTTTTGGTTTGTTTTTAAAGTTAGCCTTCCGGGTTCTGGCCCCCAGGTTGCCATGCAGAAGAAAGCTGGCCTGGCTACCAAAATCTCCTCCTACATTCCAGGAATTGTTTTTCAGTTCCATGCACCAATGCTAAGGTAGGCAAAATAATTTCCATGCCAACTTGTGCTCCACCCTGCTACCTAGGAAACGAAGCAGAACCGACTCTAGCTTTCCCTGTCTTACAGAGATTTCAACAATCCTGCTTTTGTTGTTGTTATCTTACCTTCTGTTCTCCAGACATTTAAGGGAAGTCCCAGAGGGATAAGGGATACCTAGAGATCAATCTCAGCAGCATGGAGATTGCTCTGCTGTGTTATATTCAAAACTCTCCTGATGGAGAGAAGGGGACTAGATTTAATTCCCTGTTATGAACAGAATGTTCATTCCACCCCTCTGCCCCCACACATTTACATGTTGAAATCCTAAACCCCAGTGTGATGGTATTAGGAGGTACAAGCCTTGGGGAAGTAACTCAGTAATTAGACTGGAGCCCTCATGAAGGGGAATCATGCACTTATAAAAAGATAGCCCAGAGAAGTTTCTTACCTTTTTTCCACCACATATTGATACAATGAGAAGGCAAGGGTTTGCAGTTCAAAAGAGGGCTTTTACTATGTTAGCACCCTGATTTCAGCCTTTCAGTCCCCAGAAGAGTGAGGAATAAATTTCTATTGTTTATAAGACACCCTGGATATGGTTGTTTGCTACAGTAGGCTAAATTAAGATACATTCTGCCTCCAATAGATATGAAAGTGAATACAATACATGAGAAAACAACGTTTAGACATCGAAAAATGGGCAGCAACAGTACTATGATTCCTGAGAGAGGGGACACAAATGAGGTGAGTCCCATGATTTCCTCCAGACCTGACTGGAAGTGGTTTATACCACAGGTATAGACCTATTGCAAGGATCATCCCAAACATAACATGGTAGTTTCCTTAAGTAAACGCTGATGTTCAGCAAGACTCAGGTGGCTGTAATTTTCAGAATGAAGTACCAAAAAGGAAGGAGGTGTCTCCTTCAAAATTCATGTGTTGAAACCTTAACAGAAATGTAATGCTGAAGGTGGAGTCTTTGGGAGGTAATCAGAATTAGAGGAGGTCATGAAGGGGGGGTCTCCATGTTGGGATTGATGTCCTCATAAGAAGGAGAAGGCAGAGCTCTCTCTCTTTGTCTATCTGTGAAGACACAGCAAGAAGGCTACAACTCAAGGACAGAGCCCTGACCAGACAGCAAGTCTGCTAGCACCTTGACCTTGGACTTCCCAACCTTCAGAGCTGTGAGAAATTTCTGCTGTTGGAGTCACCTAGTTTATAGTATTTTGTTACATAGTCCAAGGTGACTAAGACAAAGGTGTGTAGAGCAAGAGCTCTCAGAAATCGTCATGTGGTCCATTTGAATCTGTTATTAATACAAAATTACACATGTATGCTATGAAACTATGTAAGGCAGTGTACCAGGAAAATACAAGTTACATAAGCAGAATACCAGGGAAATAGCAGAGTTCTCGCAGGACAGGAAAATGCCCTAATTACTATTCACCAGAACACAGAGTCCTCATGGCATACCTGGACACTAGATAGTGATCCCAGGAAAGACGAACCTTAGTAGTGACTCAAAATTTGCCTTAGAATGAAGACTACTCTAAACCCATCACGACAAAGCTCAAAAACAAACTTCAAAAGGGACAAGCTCAACTAACTCTCTACTCCACATTAATACCCTTTAAAGACATACAACAAATGTCAGGGCAAAAACAAACAAACAAAAAAACAGCCATGAGGACCAGGAAGATAATATTGTCCATAATCAAGATAAAAATCAGTTAGTAGAAAATGACACTCATATAGAGAAGATGAAAAATGGAATTAGCAGGACTTTGAACAGCTATTAAGGAAATGATAATTATGTTCAAAACAACAGAAAATTAAATAGCATCTTGTAAAATAATATATGAATACAGTTAATCAAAAAAAAATATGTTCCACGGAAAAGAAATTTTAAAATACACATCAAAATTTGTGGAACAGAGCTAAAGGGCTTCGAGAAAAATTTATAGCATTAAAGTTTTATGTTAGAAAAGAAGATCTAAAAGCAATGATCTAACCTTCCACTATGAAAAATAATCTAGATAAAGGAGAACACACTGAACTTCACATACATAGAAATGAAAAAAGAGTAAAGAAAATTGTGCAAGTCAATGAAATAGGAAATGAACAAAAGATAGAAAAAGTAAATAAAACCAAAATTTTATTCTTGTTACAGAGCAGTAAATTGGTAGGCTTAAAGCTCTAGAGAGAAAGAGGAGGAGAAAAAAAAAAGGAGGGAAGACAGGGAGAAAGAACATAAAAGAGAGAGAGACAGAGAGTAACAGAGAGAGAATAAACTAATTATCAAATTACCAACATGGGGAATAAAAGAGAGGGCATCACTGG